ACAATTATCTGTATCTGTTCAACTTTTTAAAATTAACTTAAAATAGACATTCAATACGTGAACTTCCAAAAAATTTATTCAAAACATTTCATTATAAAATGTGCACTTATACTGTATACTTCATATAATTAAATTATTATAAATAATAATAATTATACAAGAAATATAAACACAAAAAAATTTTGGGGTCTGTCTTACACTGACTTACTGTGGAGTCTTACAGTTGGAGTAAATTTGAAATGTCTACAGAATTGAGCTTCAGAGCAGTGTTTTTAATCAGAAGAACGAAAGAACTAGCCTATTTATAGAACACATACAAGAAAGTTAAAAAAATTGTAGCCTCCAACTCCATACATACTTATTCAGCTGTTTTCACTGGCTTTATATAGCACTTATCATGGCTAGGAAAGTGACCTGTATATGTTAAATTGATACACTGATAAAATTAATACCCAACTGGAGTTACAAATGACAGACAATAAAATGATGAAAAACATGAATATGTACAGATTGTACATGACTGTATATGTGTTTGTTAAATGGAATAAATGAGGTGAACTGGTTGTAACAGTGTCTTGGAAAACTTTGCAGTTAGTATTATTTGATAGTAAAGTAACATTTTATATTGCAGAAATGAGAATCCCAGCAGCAGTGTGTCCGTGGTGTCATGACTGTTGTATATAAACAGAAACAGTTGAAAGCACAGTCATCAGTACTACAGTGCATCAAGTCCTACTTGTCGAACAGTGTCTCCCTGTTGACTGTGAACATGAGGGGCCGGACAGTAAGCAAATGCCACATTCAGGGCTCTCAAGTAACACTGCTCTCAATAGTATCGCTGTCCGTCAGCTCCACACGATGGCCAATGTTCTCAGACAGCAGCCTCTCAAGAAGGACCGGTACAGCACAGGTAGGGCCTGTATGCACTTTCTTTCTTTAGATTTAAATGCATGATGGGAAGTATACAGAACTACATGCAGCTGCTACTGTCTCTGATTGTCACATTGTTCCACTGTGGAGTGACCTTAAATTTCAACATGCTCTTAAGACACATGATTGAATGATTAGGATGAGAAATATAGTCTGCTTATTGTAATTTGTCATTTTTGTAACATTAAATTTAGTTTTTTATGTGCTATGTTTATATATATATAAAAATAGTTCTCCATGTCAAAAATTACTGTAATTGTCACTTTTAAGTAAAAAATAGAGCAAATTTAGGGTTGGTTGTAAATTGATGTAACTGCTAGTGTGTGTACATCTGTGTTTTTTTTTTTCTTAATACTTGTGATGCCACATGCTTTTCATCAGTTTTTACATTTTCTAGCTCTGTAATCGTACACCATTTCTTTTCTCCTGCCTCTTCTAGCTCAGTGAGCTCGATGGTAGATTTGGCATTGAATCTCTGTCACTGTAGCATTGCTTATCTGCTGTGTGATGAGTCATTTACATATACGCCTGCTCACTCGAATGATAAATTATACATATCTACGTAAGATATCTGTTTCCACGCTGCTGTGTCTCTGTCTGCTCTGCTTTCTGATTTCAATCTCTCTTCATCACCCTTTGCCCCCCAGCAGCTACCCAGCATGCAGCAGGAGCTGGGGCTCCACACCAGGTCCTCAGGTGCTGCCCTCCATCAAGTCTGCACTGTGAACTACTTCTGCCGCCCTGTTCTTTTGTCTCCCCTGACAATCAAACCGTCCCATCCCGGGTCCAAGCTTCTTACTCTAACTGAATACACCTCACGCCTCACTGGCCACCATGTCCTTCAATGGTTCATCTCCTCACAACAATAATCACATGCATACAGAGATCCAGCTGGCCTCCAGAAGCAGGATGAACAATAGTCATCTGCAGAGCAACAATCACAGAAGAGGTCAGTGAAACTTGGACAACACAGTCCTTGCAAAATGGCCATCTGAGGTAGCTTATGACATAATATCTGTAGCCCCTTCCCACAGATGGGATTAGAGATATATTATTTGTTGAGCAGCTCATATTTCAATCAGTTCCTTCAGGATTTCTTTTTATTGGGATCGTTGCGGCCTAAAATGCCTGATTTCATTTTCTAAAAATTGCTTTGCATGTTGGAAGAGTGACAGTTGTCCACCTTGCCATGCCCCAGAAAAAAACAAAATAGGGAAAGTGTTTTCAAACATTTATTTTAGTATCCTAAACCTAAGAGCGAGATGAGAAGATCAGTATCAATCTATTGTCTGTGCTGTAAGTGCTGAAATCAACATGTGGATACCTGGAAGCCTGTACATGAACAGAAATGTATTACTGGGTCATGGTTTGTGGTTTTAGAATGAGTTAGGCACTGGATATGTTTCCTGACACACAACAATGTATCCACTACTTTGTGCAGTGTGTCCGGCTATAGTGTACACTGCCAGATACACTCAGTGAGCACAATGCTGCCGAACCTGGCAACCTCACTCCGATGTTTAGGAAGCTGTACAACGTTTTATCTTTTAACTGGCTATTGTTCACCAAGAAATAGTGATATGTGTATGTGTTAATTAGTGAGTTTTAGAGGTGTTTAGCTTTGGGCTAAGCTAGACATGCTTTGACTCCATACTCAGTGCACAGACACGAGGTTGATACTGATTGTCTTATGACACTCAGAAATAAAGCAAATTTAAGAATGTTTTTTTTTTTTTTTAAGATGGAATTGTCACAGTATCATCATAATGTCCCATCCTTAGCAGCCAAGGTAACAGCAATGCAAACATTATTCAGTGAGGAAAGTAACTGACTCCTTCCCGCCCCTTGTATGCTGTACTCCAATCACAGTTGCGCAAGCTTCAATGAGAACCTCGGTCAACTTTCTCCTTTCCTAGATATGCTATGTGCTATGTTGAAAAGACAACCACATTTTGAAGATGGTTAAAAGTCACATGTAGTTGAATTTAAATTAGTTAGCAATGTTAGCTAAATTCTAGCCAACTCACAAGATAATCCACGGCTGAACATAGCAGACTCCATGGAAAGTGACGCGCAATGTCTTGTTATTTTCAGGTGTTTATACACTTATGAAAACATAGCTATGAATATTATATTCCATTTCTGATAATAAATCCTCCTAAATGTTACACACTGGACCTTTAAGATGCGACTATATGACACTTATCTTTTAACTATCTTCAAAATGTGGTTGTCTTTTTAACATAGATTAGCCTAGCACATAGCATATGTACAGTAAAAGAGAAAGTTGACCGACGTTCTGACTGAAGCTCACTCAACTGTTATTAGACCACAGAGCATCATATATCAATATATATATATATCAATCAATATATCTGTATTTATTCAATGTTGTTTTGATGTGTGTTTTTGACATGATTTTCCTGTCAGATAATGGAGTCAAAGCTGAAGCCTCCTCAGGTCAGTCAAACCCCATTAAGGCTTCCAGGACTCACAACGAGCTTCACAAAGAACTGCTCCTGGCCCACAAGAAGTAGGTACCATAGAGGAGCAACAGAACGCTCAGATCCTTTCTAAAACATGACTGGTAGAACACTGATGTGATAACCACAAACAAGCATTATTCTATTGTAATATGAGGAGAAAAACAAGGGGCCATTAAACTATCTTAACTCAGTTTTTTGTAGGGATTTATGTGCTTTTGTGTCAGTCATCAAAATGCATCTCATGCTTCAATCCTCAGTCATTCTTCTCTGAAGCAGGTGTCATTAAGTATACATGAGAGTCTCTTTCTCTCTCTGACAAACCTGGAATCATACACCTTCTCTCCATGCTGCTGCAGGCCTTTAGGCCACTGGTAGCATGAAGCAGTGTAAAGTGATATGTTCATAGGAGGACTGACCTGGCTCCACAACCACCTGATAGCACACATTGTAGCAGTGAAAGCAATGGATCTTGTTGTTGTTGCCTGTTAATCTGACCTCACAGTTCAACATTGGAGCCAGAAAAACTTTTTAGCAAAACTTAAACACTAATCTATTTTAGCATCTCAAGTTTGTAATGATCCTAATATAATTTTGCCATTAGTATTTTGGTTCCTGGTTTGTCAATTATCATGCAGACAATGCAGTATCTGAGACTACAACTAATACAATATATATCTGCAAAACAAATTTTATGAGAAAAAAAGATTTTTCACAGTATTTTACATTAAACATGTAAATTTACAGGCTATTTTTGTAATGTTATTAATATGTCCATATATTTCAAAAATACCCCCAAAAAATCTGTAAAATAAACAATAAACTCCTGTAAACATTTTTATGATTTTTTTTTTTACAGTATGCATTTCACCACGGCACCATTTTCAAAAATTGGTTTAAAACATTGAGAGTATATAATTAGTGGAGCTTCCAGCTCTGTGAAGTGAAGCCATCGCAGAAGTGTCTTAAACCTGCATTCTTTGGCCAGCAGGGGGCAGCTCAATGGGCAGCAAAAAAGTCAGTTAGAACTGAGTCTTATAGAGAAATTAGTCTACTTCTGACTTGATTTATTAACTCAGTAAACAGTTTCCTAATGAGTTTACGGTCTCAATCTCTAGTTTTAGTCTTCTTCTATACAGCATGATGTTCATTTAGGAAATGATGGTCCCATTTAGAGTAAAATAGACGACAAA